TTTGCAATTGATCTAGTTTAAAAAGTTGGATCAAGATCAATCATGACCCAGTTTTATGAGTGTTGCTAAATACACCCTTAAAAGTATAGAGGAGTTGGAAGGCTTCATATTAATTCAAATGTAGAAAATATGTATAGAAGAAATCATGCACAGGGAGATGGAAAAAGAAAAAGAAAAAGAATACCAGACAAGGTGAAAAAATCACACAATGAATTATGTGGCAAGCGTCAATATTATGCAACAATATGGTATATAGATAATATATTGGATAGAATCAGCTCAGGTTTTGCCTTTAAAGGCTTCATGAATCATGCCTGACCAGGCCACCAGGTCTTGCCTCAGAAAGCATCATACCTCCGCAAGTGAATATTATGGTTGCGGGCCTTAAAAAGCCCGAGACACTAACTAATATGGAGAGGCCTAAGGAGTTATGAATATGGGCTAATGTTCGGTAATGAATATGGGCTAGGCTCTCATGGAAATCGTACACTAATCTTAGTGTAACATGAGTCATCTTGTACAGCCCAATAGCGAAGCCCAGTTCGAGAACAGATTCCAGAAGATAACCTGGGCCCTGAATCGGCACATCCACAACCACAAATAAACTCACTCCTCTCCCTCCTCCCACACAAGAGAAGCTTCACAAAACTTCTAGATCCTCCCTCTTCAAACCCCCAAAAATCCCTCCTTTCTCCTCCAAACTCCGTCATGAAAATCTCTCTCACTCTCTCACCAACTTCAGCACCATGTCCTCCCTCCTCCTCACTCCTGCCCTCTCTCTCAGGCCCAACAACCCACCTCGTATCTCCTCCAGGCCCAATAGCAAAAGCCCACTTCTTCTTCCCTTCCCTCCTCCCTCCAAACTCCCTTTCAAACCCTCTCCTCTCCCTCCTCCGAAGTTCTCTGCTCAGGATCAAGAAGAGCAAACCAAACCGAAACTGCCCTCTTCTTCGGTCGCCGTAGCTCCGGACAACGAAAAGCCCGTTAGAGAGGAGGGGGAAGGAGAGGTCCGGGAGCAGCAGCAGCAGGAGGCGGATTGGAAAACAGATGAGGAGTTCAAGAAGTTCATGGGGAATCCATCCATCGAGGCCGCAATAAAGCTCGAGAAGAAAAGGGCTGATAGGAAGCTAAAGGAGCTCGACAATGAGGTCGGCGACAACCCCCTTGCTGGGTTCTTTAAGAAGAGTGTCAAGGATAGGTTGCAGAGGGAGAAGGAGAGGTTGGAGAAGGCGGAGGAGAGTTTCAAGGCTTTGGACCTTAACAAGGTACTGCGTTGAGCTGTTAGCTATTGTGCTGTGTTAATTCGAGAAGTATTGTTGTTTTGATTGTTTGTTGGGTGATTGCAGTTGAAGAGTTGTTTTGGGTACGACACATTTTTTGCGGTGGATGTCCGGAGATTTGGGGATGGAGGGATTTTTATTGGGAATTTGAGGAGACCCATTGAGGAAGTGATGCCCAAATTGGAGAGGAAGCTCTCGGAGGCTGCAGGGAGAGAGGTGGTTCTTTGGTTCATGGAAGAGAAGGCAGATGACATCACAAAGCAGGTAAAATAAATTAAACCTATTCAGGGTTCTGCTGATTTTTGGGAAGTTGAGAAATGCAAATTTGAGATTACGTAGTTACGAAAGTTTGAAATTATCGGAAAGCAAGTAACTTAATATGAACTGAATATTTCTATAGTTAGATTGGTAATGTTAGTTGCTAGATGAAGGGAAACCTTGACAACGAAATGCATTACCAGGTTTCCCTAGTGTTTAAGAAGTACCAAAGTTCCCGAGTTAAGGGATACTCTTGTTGTGTTACATTAACATTTTTTTAACATAACTATGTTTAGTCCTTGTGTATATGGACGTGTCTGTGCAAACTCAATGTCAACATAATCAACTAGTGATAGTTTGGCCAAAGTTGGTATAGACTATTACACAATATGGTTGTAAGTTGCAACTTCTATTTAGTGTAGTTTTCACCTGAGATCTTTTTTGTGAAGTGGAAATATTCTTCTCACAATGTTGATCCCACCCTTGTATTCCAATAAGCTTTCTTTATGCTCCTCTGTTCTTTGCAATAAGCCCCTGACATGAGAATCGATGCGACTGGCTCCTTTTAACATACAAGAGCCACAATCACAACCTCCATACTATAGAATGTAGTGAAATTAGGGGAAACCTCAAGATAGAAAATTCCATTGTGAAATAGTGACCGATAAAAAAAAAATCCCCTTGTCAAATAGTGTGACTAGATTCTCACTAGTCATGGCTAAGACACTAATCAATAATAAAAGAACAGTAAGAAATGGATAAAAATAACAGAAACATTTTACTAGCAATAAGAGTATAGAGGCATGGAGGCTATGATTTTCACACATTTTCACTCTCATTTGCCCTATATCCTATTTATACGCATACTCTGAAAAACAAGTGTAAAAGTGACTCGAAATTCCATACAGCTCTCGATTTTTTTATCCTGACTGTGGACTTCTCCAGTATATTAGATACTTGCAATTCTTCCAATAGCCAGGATACATAAACATACAAACTGACGCTAAATATATAATAAACAACTCCAAATAAGCACTTAATAATACTCAACTTAAATGCACCCTAGGAAACAAGTCCAACAGTATTATCCAATTCCTTGCTTTGCATCTTCATGAATTTAATTATGTCTTTAATTCATTCTCATTCCATGTTGCTCCTCTTATCTATCAAGCTTGATTTGTTTTTATGGGATTGACTAATTCACCATACAAAAGTAGATTATAAAGAACATTTTTATCTCTTAATAACCAAATAAATAATGAAACCTGATAAAATGGTCCAAGTCCCATAAATGATTCGGAATCTAGATGCTATACTGAGCGAAACAAGCCACATCAATCTCTAGCCCGTCCCACATTTGTTGACTCAAGAACAATGAGTCATTTCCTTCATAGACAAACATGCACACGTACTGTGCTCCCGTTTGTAGGAAAAAGCGATGCAGTCATCGCATGCTCCATCTTGATCGACACCAAGACCAATGTTGGAGAGGAATACAATGGTTGAATCACATTATGCACGAAACTTTGTTTGGAAGTAATCTACAACCACATTGGCTGAAACATCCAACTGTAGTATGAGCTAAACCTTCATGCTCCACTGCAAGTGCCTGCATCACTATTGTACGAATTTTAGAGCTACTACGAGCGTTTGTATACTTCACTTTTACTAATGCTCGTTGTCATGAGCCTTAGAATGTTCGAGTGTCTCATAACATTGCCACACGATTGCACGTGTACCAGTTCCACACACAGACATCGTGTGAATGACTGACCTCCACAAACAACGACATCAGAAATCTGTATTGAATGCAACCATTGTACCCCTATGATGGTCAATCCTTTGCCATTTTTGTGCCATTGAGCACAATCACATGAACACAGTCATATGCCAAGCCACGATCAAATTTGGTTAAGCATAATCTTTTTCTTAGTATTTCTCCTGGTGTTGCGGCCAACTACCAAATCAACACTGCTTCCATCTCATGATTTCGATTCAAGATCCATCAATGTGGAGAATACTAATTGTCTACTTCACCAGAAAATATTGAATAACACTATTTACTCTATTGTGGCTGTGATACCATTTGGAAATATGGAATATAACCAAGGTTACAGCACGGCGCCTAGTGCTTAGGCACTTAAGAAGATTTCTTTTTTATATTTCTCTAGAGGTGGAGGGGATTTTGCTAAACGTTAGTTGTTCGGGGTCGGTTGAGCAGGGTGTGTAGGCGGCAACACAGAAAATGAGACCACTACCTCAGCTTTGCATATTGCACAATGGCTCATGCTCCCTAGGCACTCCCAAAACCTACGCGGGAGACCTAAGTACTTCCTAGGCCTAGGTGGGAGTCTAGGTGGAAGTCTAGACCGCTTGTTAAAACTATGAATATAACACAAGATAGAAAATCCTTTGTCAAAAAGGGGCACGGGGTCCCCAAGCAAAAGTAGAAAAAAGAACAGTAGAAAAAAAAGAACAATAAGATATTGAGCAATGTTTTAAAAAGCGGGTGTCTAGGTGAGGCACCCGTCTAGGCCTAAGCGTTACTTAGGTTGTCTGTCTAGGTCTTGAAAGCACCTAGGGAGCATGAACCGCTTATGTGGACTACACTGCTTATGTCTTGGTTGTGATTTCCTCCTTTGTCGGCTCCATGTCCTACGACTTTCTTTGGCCTCCTCTATTGACTACGAGCACCTCCTCTACCTCCTTTGATCTTTAGTAAAACCTCCACCCCCATTTGAAAAAAAAAATCTGCCTAGGCACTTTACGGCACCTAGCGGCGCCTAATGCTTCCCATAACATTTATTTGGAGAACAAGTAAAATAATACACTAATGATAAGATACAACCAACAGAAGCTAAGCTACATTTTTCTCACCTTTTCTATCTCACTTATACTATAGCACACACTTGGACATGGATTAGTGGTTGGTTGTGCAACTTGATATCAATTTCTTTCTATAATAAATAAATTAAGTAGAACTAGAAGACAAAAGAAGAATTAGACAATTAATATGACAACTATGAAGAAAGTAATTGCAAAAAAGGAAGAAAATTGTTGAAACAAAATGTATGAAAGAAAGAAAATCAATACTCAGAGCTATGCTTCTCTCCTCTTGTTTCTTTTATACCAATATGGGTCATTTTTACATCAACCTTCTAACAATTACAAATGAGCCCCTTCTGCATTGCAAGGATATATAATGATTACTAGCGTCATATGTATCACCTAACACCCCCCCCCCCCCCGCCCCTCAAAAAAAAAAAGAGCCAACCGGACCCCCCCCCCCACCCCCCCCCCCGCCCCCCAT